AGCGATGGGAGTACGGAAGGAGAGGGGGGGAGGTGAGAGATGAAAGTAAAGGAGGAGGTAAGGAAGTCAAATGGAAAGAAAGCCAGTTGGAAAAAGGAGTGAGGGAATGAGGAAGGGGGGAGGATGAGGAAGGAAGGAAGGAAGGAAGGAAGGAAGGAAGAGAAGGTCAGTCTGGTGGTGGTTATATCCCCCAGCCTCCCGTCACAGTCATCTGGAACCACACCAGCAGCATCAGTGTCCCGTCTCTCCACCAGCATCAGTGTTCCGTGGTCAATCTTTTATTCCCCACACACACACACACACACACAGCCACACACACACACACACACACACACACACACGTACGTACGCGTCTCTAGAGAGCTACTCAACGTCACTGAGAGGCGACACAGATGCTGACCGTTAAGGCAGAGACGGATAGTGTGTGAGGGAGCGCTTGGCTGAGTGTGTGGGTAGAGTGAGTGAGTAAATGGATCATAGTGAATGAGTGCATTTGTGAGTCAATAAGTATATCAGTAAATGCATATGAATGAATGAGTGCATCTAGGAGTGGATTAGTGAATGAATGAGCACAAATGTGAGTGAATAAGCACCATCTGAGTGTGAATGAATGAATGAAAAAAGATCACACCATTGTACCGACGCCTCAAACACTGTCTTGAACCAACTGACCGACATACATTTACAACCAGGTCACAAGGTTAAAAGATGGTGGACGGAAAGAAAGTATAACACTGCTGAGTAATTGATGTCGACTTACGGTAAAATCAGATCGGTCAAGACATCCATCTCCCCCCTCCCTCCCTCCGCCTCAAGTGTCTTAACTCCTGCAGTGGCTCCCCTCCTCTTCCCTTCTCCCTCCCCCTCCCCGCATCAGCTTTTACTTCCTTATCTCGTCACGGTGAGTCTAAAGTGTAATGCCAATGTTGTTTTAGGCGCCATCTTCGTGTTCGTATCTTAACGTTATCTAGGTAGCTGTCGTCTTTTTGTATGGTTAGTTAATGGGAGAAAATAACAAAACAATTTTAGATAACTTGATATCTGGGTATTTCTCTCTCTCTCTCGTGTGTGTGTGTGTGTGTGTGTGTGTGTGTGTGTGTCAGACACCATCGAGCTACACAGGTGAGCTACTGTACTAGTCAACCAAGCAAAGCGAGTCAACCAAGCAAAGCGAGAAGAAGCAATGTTTGTGGGTCCTGTACATGAAGAGGCGACGTCTTCATCAGCGTCTCTCACAAGAATTAGCACACTTAATAGGTTCCTGGAGGCACCAAGCTTCGACTATCGTGAACACAGACAGGGGACGAGCGATCACATTGAAGATACGGGAGTGTCTCTGTGTAGCATCGTTGGCCTATATTGTTCACCATTACTATACGCTGTAACTTATGTGATATAAACTGGATCATTACATACCAGGCTAGAGGACAAAATGCAGTCCGTAAATACAACCATGAAAATCTGAACCTTGACGATTGGTGTATGTGGGCGGGTGGTGGTAGCAGGGTGTCAACACTCCCTCACCGCTACACATGGCACCGAGTACACCTTCACCAGATGGCCCAGACGCTATCATGCAGGGTGTTAGCTCAGTGCCACACCTGCACTGTGTTTTCCTTGACAACAAGTGCCACTGACATACAGCAGTGTGGCTATGTGGTCAGCAACATACTGTACAGTACACCACCTCCAAACATTAAACAACACACATGTAATGACCATATTTTCGGCGTAAGAGTTGAGCCTGTCTGCTACTACTGCTGCACCACACTTACACTATGACACCTTTTACTTTTATGAACTAATTATTTTATACAAGGATCATAAACACAAGATTTGGGTGTCCAAGATGGATTATATTATAAACATCAACTTTAAAGGGCAATATTCAACAGGTGTTTTCATGAGAGCTCCAGCACCTGAAAGACTCGGCCATGTCAATGTCGTTGCTGTTGACTTTGTAGCTGTAGTATTCTGGCTTAATAAACTTTAAATTTCAATCTCAACGACCTTGCCAGTGTCCACAGTACTGCTTCCTCAACTCTTACCTAAACAGTTTGCTAACTAGAATTCTGTTTAATGTTATATTCGAGGAATGAAACTGGTGAGACAAGTGGTGAGATAATGAGCTATCATAATACACGATAATTAAAACTAATAGAGATAAAACCTAGACGACCTACCGACACTCGTTTCATCAGGCGCCTGGCTGCCAAAAGACTTCGAAATAGCTGGATAAAGCCAGACTGAGGGGCACCCAGGGATAAAACTGTTAGGCTGGGAACATGGATACCTGATACACGTTGTTGCTTAACTACACTGCCTGACGGTGTGCACAAACCATTGCAGTGTGTTGGGCAGTGACCAGGGCGACGGAGCAGACTGATGTGAGTGCTTGAGGGTGGCGCCTGTCACATCAGGTGGCGAGTGATGTGAGACAGGAGCCACATAGGGAGACAGTTTGGGAAGAGTGACTCCATTGTCAAATGGCCGGTACTGTTGCTTGGACCACAATAGAGAGGGACTAGTGTGACGGCTAGTCAGTGTGACGCTAGTGTAAGGTAAAAGACTCATATTTCACCTACATACTTGCTGACATCAACAAATTTGTCAACTATGAACTACCAAGCCCGTAATAATGATAAGACCTGTGTCGTATAAACAAGACGGTGGCCTGACTCGCGTACCATCACGTGAAGTTCAAGTACCTTATTATAGTTCATCTTGAGCGACCATCGTGCTGACAATACACTGTACAGTACAACCCGACTGTTGTGAGGGACCTGTTAGCCGTAATAAACACTACACAAAAGCTGCCAGGTGTGTGGGCCACCCAACATGAGGGACACTGCTAACAAAAGAATGACCCTATACTCAGTCTACGATCTGAACAGAAAAATAAACGGGAAAATGAATCAAAACAATTTCTCAAAGGAATGCACACACCGCACTGTGTTTACAAGGTGTGCAGCTCGCCAGGGTTTGTCATGGCTCCCAGACGAGTGAGGCTAACACTAAAGTGTGTTGAGCAGTGCGCTACGTGACCACCCACCACCTTCCAATTGACACTGGCAGGATGTTGGCGTGGAGAAGTCTGTGGCTGCAGCTACTCCTACAGCTTGATGGGCTATGCTGGGGGTGCAACTCAGTCTCCTCTTCCTCCCCTGTGACTCTTGTTTGTGCTTCTGTTGTCTGCCCCGCCTGACCTTCCAGTTGCTATGGACGCTGTTTCTTCTCCTCCCCTGCTGTAACCTAGTGCCCCCACTACCCACCGCTCACCTCTTGTCAGTCACCCCGACTATAAATTATTTGAGCCTCCCCCGTCACTCATCCTAGCTGCCTCACTGTACACCTTGGTAACAGCCTGTTTTTTTATCTTCTCGACGAAAACAGAGATCGACTCTGACTGAGAGAACTTTCTGATATATGTAGGTTATGAATATACTCTTGGATATTCTTTATTTGTCTTTGCTTTCTCGATCGGCTTTGAGCATCTTTCAACAGCGAACCACATCATTTACGACAAAGATACACTTAAATTTCCATTTAAAATAAATTACAAACAAATCCGTACCGAGTGTCCCGGTGCAGAGACCACACAGGCAGAACCTACACCTCTTATGGTAAAGCAAGTCCTAACTCAGCTGGACGCGTGGAATGCAACCCAAACTTGTCGCTGAATCAACATTCCTCTCCGCGCTTAGTTACGGCTACAAGTACACACCAAGCAGGTGAGGGAATGTTTACGTCTTGCCTCTTGACGTCACAGTCCAGAAGGGTATCAGAAGAGGGGGGGGGGGGGAGGAGCCCACAGCACGCCCCTCCCCCCTCCACACCACTCATAGGGAATAAGCTAAGACAGAAGCCTCATTAAAAGCTACTCAGGGTGCCTCAAGAGCGAGGGGACATGAGACACCCACTAGACTAGAGGAACATAATTAAACCCCTTGAGTACGATGGCTTAACCCCTTGAGTACGATGGCTTAACCCCTTCAGTACGATGGCTTAACCCCTTCAGTATGATGGCTTAACCCCTTCAGTACGATGGCTTAACCCCTTCAGTACGATGGTTTAGCTTCTTGAGTACGATGGTTTAACTTCACAAGAAGGACGGGTCAAGCCATCGTACTCGAGAGGTTAACAGTAATACAACAAACTATCCCCTATTACCTAAGCCAGGTGGGAGAGCTCGGAAATAATTAGATGCTGTGTCTTGTTTCCCGTTTCACCTCACATGTTCAGACGCTTCATTAAGGGGACGAGGGAGGGCGTGTCGTGGGGCAGATACACGCCACTAAGGACCTTCGTGTGCTTCAGGCAAGGTTGTTTCATGAGACAAGTACACGCCATCACGGTTCGGCGAGGATTGTTTCTCTTACCATTGACAACACAACTTACATATATTGTTTCTCATTTTTTATTTTTTTTTCATTTTTGCATTTCTTCATTATTATTATTATTAATATTATTACATTTTCTCCCCCCAGGGTGAAAATTATGATGCAAAACCAAATGTTCAAGTTACATTACTTTTAAGGACTTGTACAAAAAAAATCCCAAGATCCACATATCAACTTACCGAGGTCTGTAAGCACTAAGTAACGTATTGTAGTATGTACCAATTATGTATTGAGCAATGGGAAATTAGTAAAATGCTGTTTATTTAATTATTACTTACCTAAAAAAATAAATGATAAAGAAATAAAAATTGTATATTCTTGCAAAAAAAAAAGACGTGGAAAAATACATATATAGTACAGTAGCTCGATGTATTTTAGTTTATCGTACGGGAAAGTACAAAAATATTTCACCCTTTTTTTTTTTACCTTTCTTCTGCTTCTTTTCACATCAAAATGTTGCAAAAAAAATGGGGAGGAAATGGCTTTACCTGACTAAATACGGGACAATTAAACCAATTCTTCAGTGGGAAACTCAGTATGGTGAGGGGTGGGGGGGGGGGCCAGTGTTAAGAAATACAAGAACTCCAGCAAGATACTCACCCCCACCAACAGGAGAGAAGGAGGTTTGTGACAGTCGCAGCTCCCAGCACGCTCCGCTTGGTCCACCAGGTTACCAATGAAGCTACGCAGCGCCTGAAGGTGTCTGTAGGAGGAGACGGCATGGTTACTCACAACAACTCACAACAACAACAACAATAATAATAATAATAATAATAATAATAATAATAATAATAATAATAACCACACAAATGCAAAATAATTAACATCCGATGATAATAAATTTGCATACGACACTTAGCTCTGTCCCGGGTGTCACTAACGTAGTATAGTGTTTATCATCACAGGCAACGCAATTCTAGTGTTTCTCTGGCCACCCTTAATGCAGTAACAGTAGGGGAAATAATGCAGTAACGGGAGGGAAAATAATGTAGTAACAGTGCGGGAAATAATGCAGTAACGGGAGGGAAAATAATGTAGTAACAGTAGGGAAAATAATGCAGTAACAGGAGGGAAAATAATGCAGTAACAGTAGGGAAAATAATGCAGTAACAGGAGGGAAACTCGTGCAGTAACGGAAGGGAAAATCATAGTGCCAGGTAAGTAGGTCAAGATGGAGTCAGCAGGCTGGTGAGAGTTCCGGGAGGACCAGGGGAGGGGGAGGAGGAGGAGAGAGTGCGTGTGTTTGTGTACCTGTGTGTGTGTACCTTTGTGTGTACCTATGTCTGTTATGTTGTTTTAAATGTATTAATGAATGAATGAAGGAGGAAAGCCATTATGAACCCTACACACTCTTGACACCTATGACTATTCTGCATTGTAAGTCTGTGGGAGTTATTACATGACAAGTATATACGTCGTTTATCACCCCCAACCATTAAAAACTTTCACAACTACAGTGTCAAACCTTCAGAGCCCAACAGTCCATGAAACGGGGTGATTATGTAGTCAAAACCCATGAATTAACTGGTAAAAAAAAATAATGGTCTACACTCTACATAGTCGTCAACAAGTACATCACAAAGACCATCAGTAATAAATTTCTTTCAACCGGTTTGGTGGTCTGGTAGGAGTCAGTAAGGGGCCTTGTGGTGATGGTGTGTGTTGGTTATGAACGGAAACCACACAGTTGGCCGGCAGGTGACCAATGTTTCATGAACTTTGTTTAAGACCGTCTACTGTAGTTTCCTCTGACACCCAGGAGGCATAAACAAATGAGAGTTGATTCTTCTGTACACATACAAAAATCTTGCCATACCGATTATTTGAAATGCGGCAAAAAATCGGCTAAATATAATATCATTTCATTCTCGTAAGACATATCAACACGCCTCGATTTTTTTCCTCCCCGACTGGAAATACGAGTACAAAGTCGACGGTCAATATGGCTCTGAGACTGCGGTAACTAGAAGTGTGTTGAGGGGTAAACTTACGGTAAGAAAGATTGTTTTGGGAAAGTAGACCAAGACAGAGGGTGAAGGTAACGGTAGTGTTACCTTCACCCGCTGTCAGGATAACGGCGGCACCACCACCGCTGCTGGTTCTACTAATACTATTTTACTTTCGTCGCTACTACTACTACCACCATAATTAATACACTCACCGCTACTATTACTAACACTTTTACGCGCTTGTCACTATTATTACTACTACACTCGTTCCTGTTTCTACTATACTACAGTACTGCCATCACACCCTCGCTGCTACTACTACTATTACAACCATTACATCCTCGCTGCCGTCGCTACTACTACTACCACCTCTACTACTACCACCTACTACCACTACTACTACCTCTACTACTATCTCGCTTGCCACTACCAGAACAAAGGAAATAATACAGCGTGAACAGAAGTAATCGTCAACAGTCTTTCCCTCCTTATTGCTGGAGAAGACCGCCATTACACCCCAACCTCCCACACCCGCCCCAAGGCCCCGTAGCTGCGTGGTGGTGGTGGTGCTACTGATGCAAAAAAAAAAAACGGTGTCACGCTTATATCCATTCGTAAATCCAGCCAAAGACGAACGAGTAAATACAAATCCCGCCAAAACTACGACTGTACACAAAAACACACTTTCGAGGAATATATTTACGGGCGACTTAACAAAGGAGTAATGTTAAATACACAGTCTCTAGTTAGGGGGATTACTCTCGTTCTGGTCGATGTCTACGTGGGTGGATTTAGGTCATATACAAACACAAAGTTACTAATAAAAACAAATGCACATCAATACTTTCAGCAACACTTTATGGCTCAAGCTGTGGGGGTATAAGACGTGTGGACTTGGTGACTAAGGAAAACCATGACGTTTATCCAACATCCTGTATCGCACTCGTTACCCGGACCACCCAATTATCTCGTCATGTTTCATCCTGATTGGTTCATCCGTTTTCGAGTTATTTAAGCAAAAGGTCATGGCATGATCTCAGAGTCGTGATTTTGATCTTTGAAATATTTCCTCATCCGACACACACACACACACACACACACACACACACACACACACACACACGTTGGTCCTGGCAAAGCAAATTCAATTACCAGTTCGTCCTTTCCACGGGAATTAATGAACAAAAATCGCCAATACTAACGAGCTGGTGGGTGACGAGCTTTACCCCTTCAACCTTCACCACCAACCAACCAACCAGCCACATTCACCTTGATAGACTGACTTCAAACTGACATGTCTTCGATAATGTTAAGTCCCGATTACAATACACTCTAGCACCTAACCTAACTAAGGCTTTAAACCACAAAACATACTGAAAGCAATGTTAGTTATTTCAGGAGCCTTGTGAGACATTAAGCAACGTCAGCATTACAGTATCTGGAGTAACAACGATGGGAGAGCAGTGTTTAGGGGACGTGAACAGTGTGTATATGGAGTCCCCCAATGTGTGATATCAACTTTGAACTTTTGAACTGACCCTCACCCTGACAGCCCCCACCCCCCCCAACACACACATATAGTCTCCTTCGTCTCCCTCGCACTCCTCCTCCCCGCGTCACCACCACCTCCTTTGCGCATCCTGCCTTTTCTACCATCCCTCACCCCTTCCACTATCCCCTCATCCCTTCACCACCACCTTGCCCTTCAATACCCCCTCATCTTCTCCCTTCCTTGCCTGCTCTCCGCCGCGTCACCACCATCCTCCTCCCTCCCCATTCGCACTAACCCCACCCTTCCTCCCCCTCTTCACCACCACCCTACAACATATCCCACGACATCAAACATTTATCACAGCTACACAACACACAGCCTACGGTGTTAAGTATGCGTCAGCACTACACAACTCACACGCCACTTAAATCCACTTAATTACTTGACTGAACTTAACTAGCACCAAGACGCATGCCTGGTCGGCCGGGCTCCTCGTATTAACATAAAGCTCCCGTGACAGTAACCTAGCGTGCCTCACTTACTGCTAACGCTGAAATCTGGTGTGGCAATGCTGGTGGTGGTCGTGGTGATTTTTCCACCAACCCACCACCTGGGAGGTGTTACGCGTGACGGACAGGTGACGTAACAGACCCTGATTATATTCACACCAACATACACGCGCGCGCGCACACACACACACACACACACACACACGAACACACACACACACACACACACACACGAACACACACACACGTACTAAATTCTCAGTAATGAACCCCGTTATTATCATCACACTTGCCAAATAATATATTGATCAAAACTAAAGGAACGATATTAGTTTCCGATAGTTAGTGCGTCATTTGTACTGGTATACCAAGAAATAGTTCATGAGAAGCCCTAATACACTGGATTAACCCTATCAGTACACGGTAATCACCAGACTACGATCAATTAGAACGATAAGTAAGATATCTTAACCCTTTGAATGCGGTGACATAACCCCTTGAGTACAATGGCCTAACCCTTTTAAGATACTAAGTACTGTTCATGCCTTCTATCACCCAAGTTCTAAGGTATGTTATGTTATGTTTGATTAGGTTGAAGTGAAGTGTCAAAAATGGGAAAGCATTTGTGGGACGTCACGGTACATAAGGACCAATGAATGCACGTCATGCCCGCGTACCCGTGGATTCTACCAAATTACAGAGCTGGGGACGACTACTATACAGCTGCCACGACACGCTCCCGGTCAGGCACGTCCACCCCACACCTGGATCACCTGAAAAATCTCCACCCCAGCTTATTTCACCTAAAGATTAACCACCCTAACACTATTTAGGGGGAATAGAGTAGAGTTGGGTAGAGTTGTGACTGGATATGTAAGAGCGCACCTGACTGACTTACTGACTTAAAACTAAAACTAAAACCATAAACCTATTGTAACGTTAAGGTCAAAATTAAACCGAAATTCTACTATAACTACATAGTTCCTTAACTTCACTATGAGGACAAAAATATTATAAACTGTCTCTTGAGAATCCGGAACTCTGGACTGGTGTTTATAATGATCGTGATGTTTTAATACAATGTTGCCTATATAAATGTTCTTAAATAATATATCAATAGCCACTGTTGTTTAGTTTAAGTAGACCAATTAACACCATGAAATGATCTACCAATACCCAGGCAACATTGTGTCAAGAAGGACGATGCCACCTGGGATGACGTCAACAAAGACTCAACAAACAGTTTCCTTAATGTTTTCGCCTCAATGGTACTCCTTTGTATAATCTCTGGTACAAGGTAATTCACTCACTGGTAGCCACAGTTTCACTAATATATCATTACTTTTGAACCGATTTCCACATTAGCGAATTTTTATAGTACCAAACCCTCTTGAAAGGGTGTGAGACTTATGTAAAACCTTTCCCTCTATGACACTTCACCGTCAGTTTATTCCACGTCATTCATCATCAACACCCCCCTTCTACTCATTCACTCTCATTTACCTGTTGGCCTTGTGTTTATCTGGTGCTGGCTCCTGGTTTTGGCCTCAGGTCCAATCGGTGTGTCCTTCTCGTTGTCTGGCGTCTGTTATATACGGTGTCTTACCCACAGTACATCAACCTTACCTTTACTTTTATTCGCTTACACCCAATCTACCCATTCTATTCTCACGCCTTCCACCAAAATTACACCCTCCACCACAACCACACCTCCCACCACAACTCCACCACAACAATGCTCTCGACCATGACC